TCCAACAGCACCGAAAGCTCTACTAGGAGTGCATGTGGTGTGCTGATCTGGACCCTCGGGATTCCAGATGGGCGGGGCACCTGAGAGGGAGCTGTCATTTGTCTGAAGCTTCCAGGTGCTTCTGATGAGCAGCAGGGTGTCTGGACTTCCTCTCCTCTCCAACATATACTCTGCTGCTGAGGAAGTTCTGATACCCAGAGGAGGGAGTTACACCTGGCTGCAGATTAGGGGGTCCCTGATTCCACCTTCACTCCTAAGACAAGCTGTCCAGTAGGGTCCTCAGGACACTTTAGAACATCTGCCTCCACTGACAGAGAAAACACCTTGTTTCCATGAGTGTCAGAGCAGCCCCTTGCCATTCTCTGATGGCTGGGTGCAGGGATTGATAGTGTAATCCGTGGCACGTGATTTCCCGGTGTCTGGCTGTGGAGGGTCCAACCTGCAGGCACCCGAGTGACAACCTCTTCATATGCTGCCCCAGGCGCCTCAAGGTATCTCAGCTCTTTTTTAAGCACCAAATAAACCAGGAATCATGCCCTGTCCTCTGCCAGAAGAGCTAGGGGTAGACCTCAGGAAAAGGGCTTGGCTAACTCTGAACACTTCAAATTACTTGTGTTCCTAGAAGATAAGGTCAAAATCTGGCTATCTCGTTCCAATGAAGACAGCCTCAAAAGTCCCTTTATCTTCTGAAGTGTGACAAATCCCAATTTCACATAGTAATTTCCTTATCCAACAGCAATTAATCTACATTCTTGCCTGGTGGCTGGGGCCTTCTGATTTGCAACTTCCCTCTATTTCCTTTAAAGCCCACAAACGTGTTTATTTGGCTCAGTATTTGTGGCAACTAGTATCACGAAAGTGATAGTGCTAATAACAGTCACAAGGACATAACAATAAAAGCGGTATTTATTGTGAGTTCCCTAATCGGCTGGTTCCATTATTCTTTGCCTTGAGACCCAGGTCAGGCATCGAGCTGTTCAGACTCTTACTGTGAGCTGAGACAACAGATGCTCTGTGCCTCTAGGAAGTATGGGTGAGTGCCCCAGCCACTCAGGCCTGACTAATTCAAGAGGCCATACTTTCAACCTCTGTACCCCAGAACTTTCTGGGATGACTTTTTTAGGGAAGTGACACATAACAGTCAAATGCAAAGATGTCTAGGTCAAAAACTGAGCTGTAAATTCTAGCTCAGCCTAAGGAGCAAGGTGGTTCAGCACAGGGCTTGTGTCCCCTCTGACAGCAGCCACCAGAGGTGTCATCTTCTATATAGTGTGCTGCCCATCCCAGGCATAAAGCCTGCTATTTCCTACAGTATTCCCAATGCACACTGATGTTGTCTTCTGGAATTCATTATGTGCTGAATTGTAGACAATAACAGGGGACTCTCACAGAAATAACAGGAAAACTAAACTAATCTGAGAAACAGCATCCAGAAAATGACTCAGAGGATGCTCTGAGTGCAACATCCTTCCTGGATCTCTATTTTTGCTACCCTCAGTCTTTAAAGGTGTCATTTTTCTTCTGAAGACAATGTCAGTGGCTTCCCTTGGACAGGCAAGGAACTCATATTTCTGCCAGAAGAAAGGGGGCGTCCCTGATTGTGGCTGGCACTTGCTTCTCCTCTCTTCAGGTGCTATTACCTGTCCCACTCTGTTCCTTGGTTCCTAGCTGGAAGCCTTGGATAACTGGTTGGGACTGTGAGCATCCCAGTGAGGTGTTGCACAGTCTTTCTCCAGGAAGCTTGCCTGCCGCTTGTTGTAGAACCCTGAGCCTAAGATCTTTGTGTCGAACCCTGAGCCTAAGATCTTTGTGTCGAGACAGTACATGGCCAGGAATTTTGGGGCTTTCTTAGGATGTATTTATGGCTATAGAACTGGATCTGAAGACCACAGCTCAGTGGGTAGGTGAACAGCTAGGGTCTCAGTTAATTAAGGAGAAGAAACAGGCTAACCTCGAGCCCATGGAGCATAAAGAAACTGCACCCCTTTTCCAGTCCAGCATACAAAGCCATGCTGGACCAGACCTGCCAGGTAGAAACAGAAGAAAAGAAAACCTTCTTTCTGTTGTTGGGTTCTTATCTGATCTTTTCTCATTACTAATTGCTGTTTCTCAAAATCTGAATAATTACTAAAGACTCAACTTTCAGACATTGATGAAGAAGTTCTTGCTACAAAGCAAGGATGCAACAATGTGGAAGAGAAAGGAGAGAATCGGGCTTCACGGGCTGGGATGGGGGGGGGATCACAGAGAAAGAGAGGATGGGGTGACAGGCTGAGTCCCAAGAGATCTTAGTGAAAGCTGATCCCATCCTAGTCCAGACCCCAAAGGGATGCAGGTGACCACGAAGCCCTCGACCTGCATTTGACTAATATGAGCACTTCTTTCTGATGAAGATGGGGACCACTGTGGAACAGAGCAGAAGCCTGGAGAGAAGAAGGCAGAGGGGGTAGGGGGCAAGGGTTAGTCCCCAAATTTGGCGTCATAGGTACTAAGTTACAATAGGGAAGAGGTTCCGGGTGGGTACTAAGTTACAATAGGGAAGAGGTTCCGGGTGGGTACTAAGTTACAATAGGGAAGAGGTTCCGGGTGGGTACTAAGTTACAATAGGGAAGAGGTTCCGGGTGTGTGCACAGTATCATGTCAGTGCAGATAACAGCAAAGTACAGTGCATTCCAAAACAGACACAAGAAAGTGTTTTGAATATTTTCACCACAAAGAAACACATGTTTATAAGACATTAACTTATAAGACATCAAATGCATACCTGCATTTGAAACCACGCTGATATTTAAACACTACACACTGTACAGGTGTAGCAAAACATCACATGGTAGCCAATAAAGATGTATAATTTCTATGTGTAGATTAAAAATTGCTACGTAGCCAGGTGTGGTGATACATTCCAGTCATCTAAGCACTGGGGATGCTGAGGCAGGAAGATCACCACTAGTTCAAGGCTAGCCCAGTCTACATCGCAAGGCCCTATCTCCAAACAAGACAAAGCTTACATAAATACATTTACATTTCCTAAGTCAGGTATGGAACTTCAGGGAAATTTGGGGCTTGAGAAAAAAGAGTTGAGAGGACAAGGTGTGGAGAGGAGAAACACGCATGGATGGAGATGGCAAGAAACACAATAAAATTCTGCTAGGAACTCAGGTATTTTTTGATCACTTTAGACTAAGCATATAAAGCTGAGCTCTGAAATGAATACAATACAGAAATACAAGAAACATCTTTATGTAGTAAAGTGAGGTAATACTTTTAGGCCTTATTTAAGTTAAGTGGACTTGAGACTTCTGGGCTGTTTGCTGCTGACGGTCCATTAGCAGCCCTCACTCTGCTGGGCTCTGCTGGGAGGCTCAAGGGAGCACGCCTCAGTTTCTCTGCCAGCTGGAGCCTACCAACGACCAGGAAGAAGACTGTGCTCCTGGGCAAGTGCTGACCTCGGACATAGCCACCTCTCCCCATCTCTCCCAAAACTTTGTGCTCTGTACTACTCAGTTACTCATCCAACAGCCACATGGAGGAAGAAATAAACATCCCTTCAGAGTCCAGGAAAAGTCTACCAGGGTGAGGGTCCAAAGACCCCACCTTGAACAGCTGAAGCTCTCCACTTCTCACCCGCCCACCTCCGTTCTCCGAAGGACAGCCTACTGGGAGATGAACTACATCACAAATCATGTGGTTAGGAGAGAGAAATGAGTCAAGGAAACACAGCAGGAGAGTACCAAGGGTGGAAAGAACTCTGCAACTTCACAGTGGCACTGGTTGGAGCAATTTGCTAGGTTATTAAATAGGCAACAATGTTGTATACTAATAGTATGCAAATATGAACACCAGCCTCCATGGAGATAGGCTTTGCTTTGCTTTCTCCAGCTTCTAAAGCAAATCCAGTTTTGCAAGTGAAAATAGAAAAGGTCTCTGTAGTGGGCTTTTGATGTGTTTATGTACCTCAGCACCTCTCCTCAGAGCCCCAAAGGGACCTTCAACCTTAATGTGTCTTGCTCCCAAAGAACTGTGTGACCTGGGAATGAGCCAGACCTCACTGGTGAGCTCAAAAGCTCCTGTGTCTCCAGGGACCTGGGGGTGTGAGTAGCCGCGGAAGACCACAAGTGAGCTTGGTGGCTAAGCCGGGACCTGTTAGTTCTAGCCACGCCCCACTCCTCCCTCTCAGGGGCTCTCCAGTCCCTACTTTCCTTGGACTCTTTTCAATGCCCACCATGCCCCAAGCATTCTTTGAATAAAACAACCATTAAAAGATACAAATAAGGTCGTATGCCAGGAAGGGAGTTATTGTGTTACTATAAAATGAAGAGGGGGGTTGCCCACACCTCCTCCACAAATATTTACTCATTTTTAGGAACACAAAGTACTTTTTGAAGTTTCTCTAGCCTTCTGAAGAAAGTGGGAGAGGGTAGTAGACGGCACAGAAAGGACCGCTAGGGGCAGAAAGGTACAAAACAAGGGTGGGGGAGGCAGACGGGGCAGATGTGGGAAAGAAAATCAGCCCAAACAAATTATGCATGAAAATTCCGTAAGAAATCTGTTACCATGTCAGTTTTCACCTTTGTGTGCTGATTTTAAAAGAAAGGCCAATAGGGCGGGGGGGGGGGGGGATGGATCAGTGGCCAAAGTGACATAAAGACATGAAAACCCGAGTTTGGATCCTTAACACCCACATAAAGATGGGTTTGGTACCATGGGTTTGTAGCCCTGGCATTTTGGAGACAAAGACAGATCCCAGGGGCAAGTGTCCAGCCAGTGTAGCATGGTCATGTTCAGGGAGAGACCCTGCCTTTAAAACTAGGGTGATGACCACATGAAGAAGACACATCCACCTCCCACCTCCATGCACATACATGTACACATACAGAGAGAGAGACACATGCAGAAAAATAAACAATAACAAAACCCATCGATCTACCCATGGAAGCTACCATTTCCACTCACCTGAGTGAGCCCCCCTCAGCCCTCCACTACAAGCCTCGGCCACCTACCCGAGCTGGAAAGAACCAGAAGAAGAGGTTGCTGTTGTAAGTCTTATTCACTGTGATGTAGCCAGCATAACTCTTCATGTTCATTCCAGGGAGAGGACTGACTATGCTCTTCTTTTGCCCTGGTAAAGAGAAAGAAAGCATACCCAGAGATTAGAGAACATGCTCCATGAGCCTGCTCAGGTCGGGGAGACCTATGCCGACCACTAGGCCAGGATAAGAAGCTAAGAGGAGGCTGGCATGAAGGGTACTCACAACTGAAAGTTCCAGCCTCCTCCGGCTGGTCCCATAGATTCCCCATTCACAGTGAGGCCAAGGTCAAGAGAAGCTGTAAGGGGGGGGGGCAGGATCCAATGCTTTGTAGCTGTTTTTTATTTTTTTCCTGAGAAAAGGAAGTCACCCATCATCTATCACTTTAGTACCTCGGGCGTTTCCACAGCACCCACTGAATGGGCAGGGGGAAGGGTGCAGGGAATCAGACTAAGCAGCTGGGAGTCCTAGGGCAGCCTCTGGGTCCCACCTTATCATTGTTAGGAGCACAAAACCTGCTGGTCTTTTAGGGATCAGGTCCGAGAGACTCAGAGTGGTTGGAAAAGGGCGCTGAGATTGGGGTGACCTCATGACTACACAGAGAGCCGAGTAGAACAGGGACAGTTGTGGAAGGCAGAGGCCCTGGATTTCTAACGCCAGCAAAAGGACTGGAAAGGAAAAAAAGGGCATGCTCAGCCAGCCTTTGGGGCCTTAGACAAGACGATGCCCATGGAAGCTATGACTTACAAGCCTACGAGAAAGGGGAGGTAATGTGCCCAAGGTCTGCCAGCTTTAGAGAGGAACTGAGGCACCCACACCACTGGCCACAGTCAGGCTGCAAGGCTGTTCCTTCCTGCCTGCTGTAGGTGGCTGCACTGAGCTGGGGGTATAGGCGACAAGACGTGGGAAGAAGGAACCACAAGGAACAGTCTAGAAGGAGAACAGAAAGTGGGCGTTGGGGCATATGGGAGCAAGAGGGAGAGAACTGTCCTTTAGTACAGACTCCCTCCAGAATGGTATTTTCGTCTGAGATACATGAAATTGGAGAATGCAAAAGAGGTCAACATGCCTTCAACTAACGACACCCACTCTTGTCGGCATCTCTCCCCAGCCCAGCACCCAGCCACATCACTGACAAAGAAATCTACCATAGTAACAGTATTCAATTACAAGGGAAGTGATGTAAAGTCCAGGACCTTTCTCCCACATACCCCTGACTCAATGCAGGCAGGAAGGAACAGCCTTACAGCCTGGTTGTGGCTACTGGGGTGTGTGTGTGTGTCTCGGTTCCTTTTCAATGCGGGGAGGCCTTGGGCACATTACCGGCCCATCCTATGCTTCTCTTTTTCCAAAGTCTTGTAAGACTTAGCTTTGAGACTACATGTCCTTTTTTAGAAATAGGCATGCCTTTAGAAGGGGATGCACTTCTGAGACACACTTCCCTGTCTTCTTCTCCATTTGTACTCTAGCACAGCTGCCTAACCAGTTTTGTGACTCTGTGACAGCCTCGTCTGTGCTGTAGATTCTCAGTGGCATCCTTTAGGATCCTCAGGAACACGGTCCATCATATCCAAGTCTGTCAAGAGAAGCCAGCTTAGGGGCTTGAGAGATTGCTCCATCAGTCAAGGGTTTCCTTGCAAGCATGAGGACCTGGGTTGAAGCCCTAGCACCTAAAGAAAAAGTTATCTTATTGTAACATGAAAAATAAAAGACCCAGAGACAGATATTGGGGTTCAAGCTTCAAGCTGAAGAACAGAAATGCAAAACAGCTGGTCACTATCTCTTACCTCTACTTCAGGCTGAAAGGGCTGATCCTGTCTCATGAGCTCTCATCAAGCCTCAGACTGCTGCCTCCCCTCAGCATGGATGGACAGAGTCAATGCCTTCCTATCCTCAATGTGGCTGGAGAATGAATGCCTGATACTGACTACTGAAGACCCTGTTCCTATCTTATATACCTCTCTGATGCTGGGATTAAAAGCATGAGCTCTGTTGCTCTTTTAGACCGATACAATCTCTTATAGTCCCAGGTGGCCTTGAACTCAGAGAGATCTTTGTCTCCTGAGTCCTGGGATTAAAGCTGTTTGCCACCACTGCCTTGCTTCTATGGCTAACTAGTATGACTGGTTTGCTACTTTGATCTCCAGTGGCTTTAATACATCATAAACAATATGTCATTGCAACTTCTGTGGTGGGTGCTTGCAATCCCAGTGCTGAAGAGGCTGAGACAGGAGGACCCTGGGGACTTGTGACCTGCTACTCTGGCCAAATCAGTGTGCTCCAGGCTGGTGAGAGGCTCTGTCCCAAAGCAGATGGATAAAATTCCTGACAATGACACCCAACATTGTCCTCTGGCTTCCACACTAAGGCACATATGTGCACATGAGTACATAAACATGAATGTATTCACCCAGGGGGAAAGGCCTTGTTGGAGGAAGTGTGTCACTGGGAGTGGGCTTTGAGGTTTTAAAAGCCCGTGCCAGGCCCAGTCTACCACATCCCCTCTCTCTCTGTCTGCAGATCAGGTTGTAACTCTCAACTGCCTCTCCACCATCACGTCTGTCCGCATCCTGGCATACTTCACACCATGCTGATAATGGACTAAACCTCAGAGACTGTAAGAAAGCCCCCAATGAAATGTTTCCTCTTATAAGAGTCACCTTGGCCATGCTGTCACTTCGCAGCAATAGACCGGTGACTAAGACACTGGCCTTGTCTCAACTCACACTGTTCCCCCCAATTGTCATTTTCTTCCTTTCCTTCTACTCTCAATCATAAGAGCATCCGCATCACACTGCAGGGCTGGAAAGCCTTTTCCTTAAGCAAATCCACTAATCATCTTAGCATCAGACAGACACACATCCATTCCCCAAAAAGAATGACCAAGAAGTAAAAATTAAAGGCTGGAATGGGTGAGGTACAATCCAGAGAGAGGTGATGGGTAGGACAGGACTTGAGATAGAAGACAGAGAAAGATGAGAGAGGTCAAAGTACAATGAGAAAAGGAGAAAATATAAAATAGAAAGGAGCTGGAGGGGATGGAATGTGGGCGAGAGATGATTGAATCAATCTGTCTCTGAGACCAGGGCTACACACGGTCTGCAAGCTAGCTCTAGATCGATTTGGCTGCTCACTTGTCCCTCCCTCTTGAGAATGACTGGGTTGCATCTCTTCTGACTTGTACTTAGGTTTGTCCTGTCCCTTTTCTCCTCCAGCAGGAGCTGTAGGGAAGCAGCGAATTTGTCTCACTTAATCTCTGAACCCCTGGGACTTAGTGTGATAGTTCACATTCTTAAGAAACTCCATAAATACCTTTTAATGAATGAATATAAATGAAGGGGCAGATGAATGAATAAATGAATGGGCAGCCACTGACACTGCATTGGGATTAGCATATTTCTACAAACCCCTCTGGAAAACGGACAAACCTTGTCAATATCTTAACAAATCTAGGAAACCCTTTTTATTTAATTATTTTTTGTTCCAGTTCATATTTTAAATTCCTATTCACCAAATAACAGTAAAATAATCAAAAATCCCCTCCACTAACTTGATTTTTAAATATGTTTGAATGTGCCTTTCATCCTTAGACCAAAGTCAGCTGTTAATGCGGTATGGAAAACAAACTCCCATGGGTAGTTTTTTGATCTTTCTGGCACGGTGACACATAATATAAATGTTTTACAAACAGTTAAAGAAGGAAAAGGTTTTCTCTGAAGTCACCTCACTTTCTCCTTTGCTGTTCACTGCTGTTGCCAGTGTTTGTGACATTAATACCCTGAGAATAATTGGAGTGTGGCCAGTGAAGGGTTGAATCAGCCACCTGGGGTACACATTGAGATCCACAAACACCCCAGCCATCCCCAGAGTGACAATGCACTTTCGGTCCACAAGCAACAAATTAGGACCCAACAGCAAATATTCTTTGGAATTTGTAAAAATATAGTGTTTGCACAGATGCTAAAACTTGCCTTCTGCATTTTCTTTCAGAATGTAAGGATTTATTTTAGCCTCAGAGAAAGCAAACATGCAATTACAATTACATAAAATTAAGTGAGCTAATTGGGTATTTAAAAAAATAAAAATTCCCCTTGTCTTTCTGTGAACTACAGTTTATCTCAAAACTGTTCTGTTGCAATGGTAAGGCTCCTGCAGCTTTAAGAGATTCCGTTAGCAACAGGGATTTAAAGAGGGAGCTGCCCATCTGCCCACAGCTCCCTGAACTTTCAGCGAAGTGGGTGAATAAAATTATCCTTAATTATGTTGTTGGGCAGTATCTGAGTCCCCAGATGCGCCAGCTTTGGGATCCACCATGTAAATTGCACTCAGCAATTCTGAGTTGGAAACACAACTTTAATGATGGAAGTTACCTATCCATCAGGGTCTCAAATGATGCCATTCATGGGGCGAGGGTCTGCAGGGCTTGCTACCAAAGGTCTAAAGCTCAAGCTTTCTCCCTTACTGTGTATGCCCATGACCCTGGAATGCTGCTAAGCCAGAGAAGCCTCGAGGGAGGGATGGGGATGACCATTGCTCAGATGGGTTCCTCGGGGCTCTTCTCACTCCTTCTGCCGCATAGGGCACAGGCATGTGATGGTTTCCCCCTAACAATGCCTCTGCTTAGCCGTCTAACCGTTCGGTGTGCATAAAGACCTTTTGGGTCCCCCATCTCTTGCCCTACAGCATTGAGTCGGGAGATGGTCACATGACACAGTGGTTCATAGTATGGTTGGTAGACAAAAGTTATGACCCCAGATCTGTCACTTATTAGTTTTATAGCTCTGGGCAAGATACTTATCTTCCTAGAACCCCAATTTTCTCATCTATGCAATGGGAACAGTAATTATATGTGCTTTATTAGGGTTACTCTGAGACCTACATGAGCTAATAGATGGCAAATGTGGTTTCTGGCACAAGGTTGAGACCCAAATGTAAATTGCCTAAGTATTTACTAAGTGCCTACTCCATAAAAGTATTGTGTTAAGTATTAGGAAATAATGAATGAATTTTAGTCATCGCTTTTTATTATTTATTTTTAATTTATTTATTATTTTATTTATGTTGAGTTTATAGTTTATTACTAGTTATTTTCACTACTACTATTATTTTCTATCTAGATTATATCAATAGCCTTCCTTCTCAATCTTTTAGCATACTTAACTTATATATAACACTTCAGTTTCATTTCTTACTTGATTCCCATATATTAGTACATCTATTTCAGAAGACCACAAACTTCTTAAACAAGAAAAAAGAGACCGCAGCAGGCAAGGCACAGAGGGGAAGCCAAAAGATCTGAGTCCTACAGGCTTCTCTGCTCCTGAGTTTCTGTTCCCAGCTTCCCCTTTGGACAAATCTAGATGTGCAAGTCTCCTTCCTTGCATGAGGCTGGGTAGGACTTGGTTATAATGACCTTAACTCCTTTTCAGCTCCACATCCAATGGTTTTCTCTGACTTCTTGTTAATGAGATAAATGTGTCAGTCTGCAGTTATCAAGGAAGCTGGGCTGAATTCAGTGTGGCACTGTGGAGTTCGGTGGTTGTTGTGTTTCCTACTAAGACACATCTTTAAGAATCTGCCCATGTGGCCAGGCAGCCATCTTTCTGTGAATTTGGTGCAGAAAGTGAAACTGAATCCCTTTTTACATATTCTGATTACACAAGGAAGATGTTTTTACCTTCCTGCAGCAAAGAGTTGGCAAAGTCTAGAGCAACCCGTTGATTGTGAGGGCACTTCCATTGAGCAAACTGCTTTATTTTAAACTTCCTTGTAGAATGTTTAGACTTACTTTTGGTCTTTGAAACCATTATTTCCCTGAAACGTCTGGTGTCTTCCACTCTCAATCCCAGCTGACTCTCCAGCAAGTCCCTCTTCTGTGTCTCTTGCACTCAATGCCTGCCAGCAGCTCCTCACATCACACCTCAGCCAACCCTTGCTTCAGCAAACACTCATTGTCTGTCTCCTCTTTGCAACCCTTCCTTGACTCCTTCTGGCCACCAGCCCAGTCCTCTGCTCCTTTTACAAACAATTCCTCAAAGCCAGAGTCTGTGTGCTGTTTGCAGCTCATGGGAAAACTGACTTCCCACAGATGATGTTCTTTGTGGCCTCGGTGACTTACCTAGGCACTAAGATGTGGTGAGAGCAGAGGCAATCATACACTTTAGTCTAACAACACCAAATGTGACTTCTATCTATTAACTGATAGATATCAGCCTCTTGATAGTCTGTTAATGACACCTCTGCAAACAATGAGATTTGGGGAGAAATTTGCAGGTTATGGGGAGTCTTCCAAGTTTTCTCTCACTACATTTTCCTGGTATTCTTGCAAATTATATAAGATGTTAGTTAAATCTTTTTAACATGGAAACTGAGGCCTGCTCTGTGGATAACTCGCCAGGTAAAAGTCACAGCAGGTGGATGGAGAGAAACCCTGTGGGTATGGAGATCACACCTTCCAGCCAGTGTCTATGTGAATTCTAGCAGGTCCTTGGACCTCCTACTTCAGTCCTCCTATGTGGACACACCTTGCTTAGTTGCCAAGTGTTAATGTCAACATTCACAGATGAAAGTTGCAAGGTTTGTGATGGCTTGGTCAATGCTGTCCCACTGGGAGACATTCACTGGTTGTATAAAGAGAAAGGCGGCAACTTAACCATACCAATATTCCTTCCCCAACCAACCACCTCATTTCAGCTCAAAAGTCAGATGATACATGACAGCAAGTCTTTAATATTTGAAATAAAACAACTGAATAAAAATACTGACAAGTATTTCACATCTTGGGGGATGGTTGCTTTTAAAATACCATTGAAAGTGTAGGAGCCCTTTTCTGACACTTACCTTCCTTGATCTTCCCAGCCTTGATATAAGGGCTAAGAAACAGAGGCCGTCCTGCATTTCCCCTGAGTGGCATGGAAACATAGGTGCTTCGGTATATGGAGCGAAACAGTCCATCACCAGGGCTGACCATAAACAGGATCAGTGAAACAATCACCTTCGATATGATGCCAACCATTTCTTGGCCTTGGAAAAGAGAAGTGACATTCCACGCATGAGTCAAAAGTCAGTATTTGCCTATCCCCTTTACATGCAAGAAATCCATTTGTTTACTAAAAGAAAAACAAAAGAGCAAAACATACAAGAAAACCTTTCCTATTGTGTTTAAAGGCAGGTTACTGAGCACCTTGGGCATCACCAGAAAATAAGTCCTACTCAATCCCTGTTGATCATAACCTCAGATACCCAGAGAAAGATTCTGCAAGAGACTTACAATGAAACTGGAAAGCAACTGTTAAAAACTATGGCCTGGACAGTAGATCCAGTAAAGAATTAGGCAAAGCTGGGGAGCAACCAGGGCTCTAGACATGGCCACTGAGTAAATGAATGGTAGGGACCATTCCATCACTACAGAATGGCAGGGTATGAAAGGGGGTCAAACTCAGGCATATGGAAACACACCACACACACCCACACACACACACACACACACACACACACACACACACACACACACACACACGGCACTAGATATACAGGAAATGGCTTAAGCAAAGGGAGACCAAGGGGTTCCAGTGCTCTTCACAGGGGAATTTAAAATAAGCTATAGGTTTCTTCAGAATCCCTCTATCTCTTATAAATTGTAAGTTTTATATCCAACAACAAAACAGAAAGAAGAGATGGAGGATCCTATACCTCATTGTCATCTGATAAGTAAACTTAAGAAATTAGGCCAGATGGGACACAAGCATACCTATAATCCTAGTTGTAGAAAGAAGTTGTAGAAGTCCTTCCCCATCCTTCAGTCCCAAACCAACACACAGACGTTTATTATATTAATTATAAACTGTTTGGCCTATTGCTCAGGCTTATTTCTAACAAAACTCTTGCAACTTAACCCATAATTCCTATTTATGTTTAGCCATGTGGCTAAACCTTTTCTCAATAAGGTATTCTCATCTTGCTTCCTCTGCATCTGGCTGGCAACTCACTCTCTGCCTTCCTCTTTCCAGAATTCTCCTAGTCTGGTTGCCCAGCCAATACTTCCTAACTGACTACTGGCCAATCAGCGTCTTATTAAACCATTAAGAGTGACAAATCTTTACAGTGTACAAGAGCATTATCCCATATCACCAAGTGCTTAGAAGTTGGAGTCAAAAGGTTCAGAAGTCAGTTAGAGAGAATAGTCAGCCAGCGTGGGGTACAGGAGAGTTCTGTCTTACACAACAAACAAACAAAATATGGGTGTAGAAGGGGGCAGAAAGATGGTTTAGATGTCAAGGGTTCCTGATACTCTTGTAGAAGATCAGAAGATTGTTTCCCCATGTTGGAAACTCACAACCTCTTGTAACTCAAGATCCATGGATCTGATGCGCTCTTCTGGCTCTGTTGACAAATGAACACAAGTGCACGTACTCACACACAGACACAGGCACACTCAGTTAAAGATAAAAAATAAGTACTTTTTAAGAGAGAGAAGAAAAGTAGAATATTGGCAACAATCTTTAAATGCGATTTTTCTGAGAGTATTCTCCTGGCATGTCATCACAATGGCTTGAAATCATGCTGCCTGCCATCCAGACTTTACATAAACACGTAAGTTGTGCTTGCCCAACTTCCTTTATATTTTAATGTGTTTTAGCTGATTTGAATCTCCTAATAACTCCACCAGAAAGGCAAGAATAATACATATCAAGGGTAGGTAATAAAACTGGACTTGATAGGTGATGTCATGTAAGGACATGAAGTTAGACAACCCAGGGCCTGACTTCAGGGCCCCCTGGGTATGTGGGATACATGAAACTCCTGTTGAATCTGACTACAGCTGGTTTCATTTAAGATCTTGATTTAGCCTGGCAGTGATGGCTCACACCTTTAATCCCAGCACTGAGGGAGGCAAAGGCAGGCAGATCTCTGTGAGTTCAAGGCCAACCTCTGCCTGTAACTCAGAGCACTCCAGAATGCCAGAGCTACACGGAGAAACCCTGCCTCAAAACAAACAAATTTATTTCTGTCTCCGTTTTCTTGTTGTCATTATATGGAGTTTCCAATGTGTTGTATTATAACACGTCCCTTGATTAGCAAGTTTTTTTTTGTTTGTTTGTTTGTTTGTTTGTTTGTTTTTGTTGTTTTGTTTTTGGTTTTGCAAGATAGGGTTTCTCTGTGTAGCTTTGGAGCCTGTCTTGGCACTCGCTGTGTAGACCAGGCTGGTCTCAAAGTCACATAGATCCTCCTGCCTTTGCCTCCCGAGTGCTGGGACTAGAGGTGTGTGCCACCACCACTGCCCACCAATTCCCAAGTTTTTGTCACGCCTTAGATCTTCCACCTGAGGCAGATGCCGCTCTCGCCACACCTTCACCCCAACCCTGCCTAGTGTATTACAGCGCTGCACCTGCCCGCACCTGGCTCTACACCACCAATACCTAAGCATGGTGGACAGCCTTAGCTCTAAATTCTGCTTTGTGAGGTTTTGTGTTAGAGCTGGGGATGGAACCCAGAGCCCTGCACATGGTAGACAAGTAATCTGCCACTGATTCATAACCCCAGCAGCTACATTCTAGACAAAATACCATGCAGTGAATAAATACTCCATTCACTCAGGTTTCTGATTACAAAAGGAAATATACAATTATGTAAATACTATGCCTGCTTTTGATTTTCAGTGCTTCAAAATGTTAAACCATTGGAACATTTTAAAACTACAATATGTGTACAAACCTATTAACCACATGTTTAACATAACCCAATTTAGCATAATACAAAATACTGGGTTGTGGCAATTTTTAAAAGCCTTTCAGCAGCATTTTCCCATTGAAGTAACGGTTTATAATCATAATTTGATTGAATATATGACCCTTGTCACGTCTCTCAGGGTTAACTTAATAGAATTCTCTATGCTTAATACAAACAAACCCATCCAAATATAGTACATAGCTAAAAATGATTTTGCTTATTATTGACTATAATGAAGAACCAAATGCATTTAGAAATTGAAATTAAGTTCTTAAGAGACCCAGGGGTAATGGCCACTATGGCACAGTTAAGATATTGTTTTTAATTATGTAAATTTGTTACACCAAGGCTTTAATCACATAGCTACTTAAAAAAAAAATGCCTGAAATCAACAATTCTACTGATTCAGAAAAGAGAAGCATAGAGTTTAAAAAAAAAAAAAATAGTACTAATAGAAGAAGCTCTTCCAGGAAGAGGGTGCCCTGGGGCAGACACAAAAAACCCACCCTGTTGTCTAGTTTCCCTCTCTTCCAGCACCAAACCTCCAGCCTGCTTAATGGCACCATTAATATTTAAACAACTACTGTAGTCACAGCATTGGCCTCCGCAAGCAGAGCTTTGCTCAGCGATGCAAAAAAAGAAAATAGGTGCAAGGGGGCTTGTTTCAATTGACATAAATTTAGTACACAAAAGTAAGTTAGGTCAATTTAGTAGAGCTCATTTAATCAAATAACTGGTGGAGTCTCGGTTTTCCATGTCAGTGAATGAAGGCAACAACATACTTCATTTCACAGTTCTCATTTAACAGAATTCCACAACTGCTCAGCTGTCATCTCTCCTAAGGGAAATGAAAACCATTAACATGAATGGAGGAATGAAAAAAAAGGAAACCAACCTTCTCTGATGCTTTTGCTGATCCTAAGTTGGACTAAATGGTTTGTTAAACACTGAACTGAGGACTCTGAATGAATAACCCTATACTAGACAGAAGCTGTGACTCTCAGAACATAAGAAAAAAAAAGAGAAAGAAAATCTACTGACCATACATTTCATTCATCAAGCCGACTTGAATGACTACAAGTCAGAGAGCAAGCTCAAATCTAAATGCATCATAGTAAAGAGCTCAGGAAAGACACAAAAGCTAGGTGATTCCAGCCATATTAAGTAGAGTCAAATCAAGGCGTTCAAAGTATGTGTATGTTAAAACAGTTAAATGTTACTGTTAGAATCCAAGTGTCATACATTGTCTATATTAAGCAAAGCTATTTACCATTGTTCTTTAAGATAAGAAAGCAACATACTACATCTACAATAACATACCAGATAAGCAAGTTACCATTCACTAAGGTTGATATAACAACACTTGAAACGGTTACAGAGAACACTTTGACAATACGACAAAGTATTAGGTAAAGAAAATGGGTATTTTTCTCCTTGTTTCATACTTTTTATAAACTTCTGAGTTTCCTACAATAATTAATCTCATAAATACAAAAGAGCAGTTTTCTGATAATTTGATTATCTTTCAGACAAAATGAAGCAACCAATAGACATGACAAAAAACGAGGAGGCTTGTTCCTTATTTCCCATTACTACCTGGTTATGACCTCTTGCGTTTCCTAGGAATAAGGTTCTGTTTGTTCTTTTTTCTCGAACATTCTATTAAGATGTATGCTGCTCTAAGGTCAGAACTTCAGAGGCCTGAAGTGGGCTTTTCCTTGGTAACTTAGAAGGATCTGGAAGAGAATGAGATGCTGCTGTCACTCATTATTACTTTATTTGTGTCTGGTTATGCTTAGAGTCCATAACACATGTATATAAGCATCACTAAACAAATGTCTGTGAGCCTGATGGACCTAAAAGGACCCAAGGTGTTCTAAATAAAGAAGACATTAGATGATCATATGATCTGAGTTAGGTGTCTGACAGGGGAGAAAACCCAAGCCTGACCCAAAAAAAAAAGTGGACTCAATCAGGAGGATCTCATAATCAAACAGCAAATCATGGGGCCAAAAATCAAAGTTAGGATTCATTTGTTATTCCAAATTTATCTGCTTTCCACTGCCCATATCTTGGGCCATTCATATTCTAACTCCAGTCTCAACAGACCACAGTCTTTAGCCTGTCCCAGTCACAAGTTGCTGACAATACACAAACAGACAAGAGATAGATGGAACATGGAGAAGCCAGTCATGCTGGGGAAGGCCTGCCACCATAACTCATGGATCTTGGTGAGACAGCATCTTCCCTGTGTCTCCCTCGGTACGGCAGACCATGACCGGGACAGTTG